CTCCAGCCGCAATGTGTTGCAGGCCGACAGAACTCGGATCTACTCGATTTGTACGCAGCAGGCTTTAATTGCACCTCGCCGTCATGGAGAATTAAGGAATCCCCAGTTGGTTAATTTTAAAGGCCAGAACACTGGGTTCGTCCCTGGATAACAGAAAGGGTGCGGCAGTGTTCGTTTTCGAACTTACCGCGAATAACGTTAATTTACAAATATCCTATTTACATTTAAATTCGGGATATACAAATGCACGCACCATACACACATTCTTGATTAGAACTATCGGTACTCAAAATTAACGTAATCGTGGATCACAGCTACATAACAGAATACAGACCAACCAATAACATTCACACATACTTAAACACACGGGAAAGTAAAGAATTTATAGCTACTGTGAGAGAATGTACATTAAAACGACGTCTCCTCATTAGAAAATCCATTTAAATTATGGATTTTTTAATTCTAAGACACGTTTCCAGGAAACGAAAAGCAATTTGAATGCATCGCATTGGAAATCGCTGTTCTTACACAGATTATATAATGCGTCCTGGGAACTGCTGCTCTACGTATGGAGGAGAGCCTGAACATGTGGACCGCTTTAAGACACGTGCTGATGAGACTTAAATCTGGACTGACTGGGCAAGACACATGGCATACGAACACTGACTTACAGGTCTACTGATAGCTTACTAACAAACAAGCTCTAAGACACGATCCTTCATCAGCTAATAGCAGTATCCTCAGGAAGCCAAGAAATTTTCCAGCCAGCCTTTTGTGGAACCCGAAAGTTCATCACCGTGTTCACAAGAGCCAACCACCTGTCCTTATCCCGAGCCAGAAGAATTCAATCCACATGCTCCAACGCAGTGGCCCATTTGAACATCCCCCCCACCAATCTATAATAGGCCTAATAAAATAAATTTATAGTAACGAGATTTTAAAATAATTATTTTTTCGCTAATTACCCTCCACCTGTCACCTCTCTTTATTCCTAACATTTCATCTATGCTTCGAACGTTCATGTCACCCTCCCCACGACACGTTCAAACACATTTCTCCTACCAGCCCACAACGCGAACTGGTTAATGCTATTTCGGGAAATAAACTTAAGTCTTCTTTTAGGGGGAGGGGACAGGATTTAATTTTTAAAAACCAATTGAACGAGCTTCGACTCTTAATGTTATTCATAGTGAGAAATACGGTTCTACACTAATTTGTGGCTTGTATTTATTCACGTGGACACCCGGTGTAGCAGTGTCGACCTCCCTGGTCCACGGCTTCTCCGCTCACTGAAATCGCTAGGAAAGAGAGGACGACGTGATGAAGTGACCATTCATGTCAACGGCACAGCTGAACGGTGGTTCTGCGCGTTAATACAGGGATGTGAAGTGGGTCCCTTGTCATCACGGCCGGTGGGGGAGAAGGCGTCCAGACACAGAGGGTCGCTGCAGCGGTAGCGGACAACGGAAAAGGGGTGATCCTCCACCTCGGGGACCGAGCGAGCTACTAACAATCCCACAACTTAAAAACACTAAAAAGTTTCAAAATGTGCTGAGCGACTATCAGCATCTCAAGTGTTTTTGGTCCCTACAGTGAGTTAATGCATTAATACGTTTTTATTAATTTATTTCGGAAGGTCATGTAAACACCTACACGTGTCAACCGTTTTTATTAATTTATTTCGGAAGGTCACACGTGTCAACGAGAAGAAAAAACTGACCGCCTTGTTCTTCTGGGTTGTGACGCCTTGTAGTCTCGAAGATGGGTACCAGCGTTTCGAAGAAACATCTTCAGGGCGGAAATACTTAAAGTATGTTTCTCCGAAACGTTGGTACCTACTTCCTAGTCTACACGGCGTCGCACCCCAGAACATCCACGCCGTCCTGTCATCTTCAGAACTCACAACAAATGCAATATTAATATAATGCTGACATATATAAATTAATTCGCACGCATTTACAATACGGACCGAGAGTTAAAACAGCAGCACGCGATATTCAGCCAATTTCGTACAGTCTGGTAGCCCGCAGTGCTTTGATAAAAAAAAAACAGAACATCCATCCGTCTTAAGATAGGGTTAAAAATAAATCCACTGCCAGCTACTACGTGTCAGTAGAAATTAGTTTCTTAATACAAGATAAACATGAGCTCATTCATCAGAATAAAACCATTTTGGAATTACTGAGTATTTTGGTACTGATCAATCGTACCATTCCCATACGCTGATCTGCCCGTCGCTCAATTACGGTCGACGTGGATCCGCAGGAAGTGATGCCACTTACCTGAAACAAAGGGAACATACACATTACAAAATATGTTATTGAAAATAATAATAATTGCCACTAAGGTTATTTGAAAGATGCTGTAACAAGACCAGATAAAACTGTTCAAATTACGTAACTGTACAGACAGAGACTGTAAAACTCTGTCAACATACTGCTGATTACACGGCGACTTAACTTTGCAGACAGGCGTTGTATCTTCCCCCACGGTGCAACAACACTAGGAACATTGAAAACCCGATTCATTTTTGTCGGCCTACCGTGCACAAGCCGGATAACACACATTTTACGAGAAACTGTACACACCGCATGTACAAAAAATTATTTTGATGTTTTCAGTAAACTTTTTTTTTAAAAAAAATGTCTTCGATCGTAACTCATTAGCCGCAACGCAACTTCCAGGAGTTTTGTTTAACAACGCTTACTGAACTATGTTATACAAACTGTGGAGGGCTACTGTCATTTTTTTTTATTTGTAGTGTTCTGTCTGACGACAGGTCCATATGAACAGGATCCTTCCATCCTTTTCTCGGACTGGGACCTGTTCATATACGTTCTTGGCAGATGATCCAGAAGTGGTTTGCCATTGACTTCTTCTGTGTGTGAATGGAGTAATTGTTGGGATGCCCCGGAGGAAAACTCCGTGTTGCCTAGACCACGGCCTTGCCCAACACAAGTTATAAATTCGGGCACCGCCGGGAATCGAACCCGAGACCCCAGGATTACAAGGCCAGCCTTATAGTAAATGTGAAGGACTTGTGGGATGTTACGGCACGTTGTCTGGTAGAAACTGACCAACGTTACACCCTCGAGCGCCTTGCAAACGTCGTCGAATTTCTAGCAGACTACGCGACGAAAGACGAAATCTGACCGATTTTGCGCTGGGACTGATAAGTTCCTACATCCACGGTCCCACGGGTCGGTCAGTCAATCTGTGGTCTGTGTCAGGCCGACTGATGTCGTGCACTCACCGCAAAGCCAATTAATTCTGTTTTGGTTGTAATGAAGCAACTGCACAAACCACAGCTTTCATGTGGCGCCTTTGCCGTATATCAAAGCAGCAAAACGGCTCGTAATTACTTAACTAAGCGCCCCATGACCTTGAAAAGGCACTACTTGCACGTGACAGCCACTATTTGACGATGCTTTATCAACTTCACGGGGAATTCTGTATTGATCAGAGTGGTCTGTTCTATAATGTGGCATTGGAGAGGAACAGAAGAAAACCAGTCCCACTTTACATTCGGCTGATCCCGTGACCTCTAGTCCTGAGTTCTGCGCGGTAGTTAGGAAACAAAATGGCTTCCCATGCGACATATTCATGACTACAAGAATAAAAACTGTCATTTGCCTTGAGATTTGCATTTGTAGGATAAGTCGAGCGGAAAAACAACATCGCTGACGTGTCTGAATTCGACAGCTACCTCTCAGACTTGCACTGAGGGTAGCTCAACGAGGGGTCGGAAACCTCTTCCTCCCGTCCTACCCGAACACTGAAGCAAAACCCGGCTTCGAAAATGTATATTGATAATTTTATAATTCAGACGACGGACAAAGTCCAAAATCAAACAGTATTACGTTTATAAACTCTTATATTATTATGTAGCAAATGTCATTATCGTGACTGAACGAGAAGTTTCTAAAATCATGACAGAGATAAAAGTTCGTGCCGAGATACATCACGAACACATCTACAACGGAACGAGCATTTACAATATTTCTGGTCCTGTGTCCAAGGCACAGGTAAATGACAGGGCGATGAATCCACAGAAAACAGAATGGAGAGCTGCCAACATTCCCCGAAATAATCTCGTCGGCGTGGAGAAAGGTAGACGATTTACAGAATGCGAGAGAAAACAAGTATTCAATTAAAGTCAGTCACACCGGCAAGGTGTGAAATGAACACATATCATTCAGCACTTCAAGAGCAGTCTAATGGTAAGATACTTAGCATCTCGCGTAAAAAAAAATCGTCCAAGCGAAATATGAGGCTGCGGTGTTCCAATTCTGCGCTCAAAGACACTGACCGACGTCCTATACTGAATCACATTAATACGATTCTCAAATGCATACACTGAAACCAGCGCCTTGAAGCCGTAGCTCGACTAAACGATTTTCAAGAATTTAGTCCGTACCTCGAAGAAAACACGATCCGTTTTCGTTACGAAGATTAGTTGATTAATGTTGTTTAAGAAAAGAATCGCTGTTTATTCTAGAAATCATACGAAAACACACAAACTCGCCCTGTGGGCAAAATGTTAAGTTTAATTGTTAAAGCAGGAGGTAAATATATACTTAAAACTGATCTTCAAAGGGTTAATTAATGTTGTGACTCGCGCAGGACATAACTTTTATTGCTAAAGGCACACTTTCAGAATTCGCTAATCGGCGCGATTTCTCATTCAGACACCGAAGGTGTTCAGAGGACATTTCCGGGCGGAAGCCCCCCCCCCCTCCACACACACGCGCATTTCAGGATCTTGTTCGGGGGACATGGAACCCCGACACCATATCCTGGCCGACGTTAAGCAGAGACCACGAGTTAAGGGCACAGCCAATAAGAAATCGCGTTTCGAAACAGAAATCTTCAATCTTATCGCCATATTCTTCAAAGCAAACTGAAGGTTTCAAAAAGCCTGTACCTTGAACAGTTTCACTCGGAATCAGAAAATTTTCTTCCGCACAGAACAAAGGACGTTGCATCTGCCACATGTCCTGATTTGTGGTCTCCACAGCTGAAAGGCCAAATACTTCCTTAACACACCATGCTCTCACCGCAAAGTGACTTGCGTGGACAACGCACAAAGTCCTCCGTCGCCACGAAACTCGGTCTGCTACATTTATTCGAGTGACTAAAACAGCTGGTGGCAACGAAACATTTTTACCGCTCAAGCGTACAGTATGCCTACCTGTTGGACCCTTCTAAATTTAAATAGAACCGCTGGTCATTTCAAATCAAAATACACTACAATTAATCACGGATTAATGAGCAAAAAATACTGTTACTTGGATTTCAAACTGTTCACGTACTTCTGAAGTAGCCTGTATACGAAACCGATTCGTTCCAACATTTCCCGCAGCTGTTCACATGTATCCAATCCTGGCATTTTAACGGTTACTACGTACGAAATTATATAAATATATTTTGAAGTCTGTGTGAGTAACGCAGCTTATGCACTGCACGTTTTTACCCATAAGCATCCAATACAGAAGACACCGTTCATTCTTTGCTCAAACCCGTCTGACATACGTAATCGTAACAAAGATATTGATCACAATCCCTGAATATTTACTAAAACGAACACACCCGAGTGTTCGTTGAATGAAGATTTGGGTCTTGGTGTTCTGGGTTGTGACGCGGTATAGACTCGCAGGTATATACCAACGTTTCGGAGAAACATATCGTCTCCATTTTCAGAGCTGAAGCTGGACACAGTGTTTCACCGAAACGCCTGTGTCTACCTAAAAGTCCACATGACGTCACAACCAGAAAAAAACATGGTCATATTAAATGCCGTGAGAATCTCATCTCTTTTATTCCTAATATGAGCTTCGGAGACGTTGTAATAAGAGGGATCGAGGAAATTAATAAGGAAGAAAGGAGGAAGGATAATGTAGGAAAGGGGCGAAGGAACGTAATAAAGAGAGTGAGGATTAATAGAACCTGGAGTTCCGGAAGTTAGCCACTTCATCAAACTCATGACCACAGTGTTATCGCAACGTCGGCATGATCAGGACCACTACAACAAAATATTAACAAGAAACCTACAGCGTCGTGACCGAGGACTCAGAATACGTTCATTCTGAAAATGACGGCATTATTATCAACGACTTAAAGTTATTTCGTATTTGTTTCCCTAAACGTGGTTGGAGTGTCTGCTCGCAAGAGGCGGCAAACGGCGCGATGCTTGAAGGAGGATCTCGGGGCCTGAATCCCCCTTAAACTGCCCATTCCGTAAAGACACGATGGACTTTTATTATTTCGCTGAACTAAAACCTGATGTGAACTAACGTATTTACCCAAATGATATTTTAACATCTGTTTGTTCGTATGGAACTTAAACAAGCGTTAAATAAAGTCCCTCGTACTCTTTTATTGTCTTTAAATTAAATGGTTTCAAAGTTTCTTATCAACGATGTTATCTTCCCTCATTCGCATCTAAGGAAAGTTCCCTTCTGCCTTTCCCGTGTACCACAAGGCTGCGTCCGTAAACATCTTTTGTTAAATACTTTATTAACGACTTCTGTGTTAAAATGCAACATTTTAAATTTACCGGCAGGGTGCAATAAACTTCCCTCATTTATATCATAGCACCCAGCAAATTTATAAGAAAGGGTGACCGTCCTGATCACCACAAAGGCCTGGACAGTTAATAATGCACCAACAGACAACAAATCCTTTTAATTAAATTTACTTACAGCGGATGAATCGGTGAATCCGTGGCTAATAGAACACCCCGTAACAGAGCGCCGACAGGTAATCTGAACAAGCCCCCACCTCACGAAACCAAATAAACCCTGCGTTAACGGGCTGTTTACAAAGTCTATTTTAACCCCGAACAATTTCAACTTTATTGGTTAGCTCAATGGACAACAGCGCGGACGGATCTGATTAAAATTCGCATGTTCCGATAAAGACGTGCCTCGGCATCGGTCCAAAACAAAACTGTGGGTAAAATCTACCCTGAGGTTTGTCGCCTGTGCGTCCTTCGCCGCAGGGTTATTTTTTTTTTCGGAATAAATTTCAACAAATCGTGAAGCTAAAACATACGACACGCGGAGTTCACACCTCAAAGAACACAGCCCGTCTCAATTACAGATAAAAATTGGTTCATGCTGTTTGGGGAAGTAATCGCTGTTTACTCTAAGAGCCATACGACGCCCACATGTACAGTGTGTCCAATAAGCAGCTTTACTGAATGTTAGAACAGGCGACACGAACGATGTCGACGTCTGATACAGACCAAAATTGTTACAGCAAACAACCGCAATAGAAATTT